TAACATTACCACGACACACTTTTCTTGCGGATTGATCCTCTTTAAAACTGCGATGACAATTTCGTAAATAATTAACCATATTTTATCCCAAAGAAAAATTTTAAAAAATTACAATATTTGCTGACATGGAAAAAAATAATAATAGCGTTTTTGTAAATTACTTTTTTCCTAACAAAACCTTAAAAGATGGGTATATAAAATATTTTGATAATAAAACGATCGATTAGTTATTCTAGTAATAGAATCTTCAATTTATTTTTATTTTATTTTTGCTAAACAAATCTTCAATTTATCCTACTCATCTTCTCTTATTTTGTTTGTTGTTTACATTTTCACGATATAACACAGAAACGTAAACGCAAAAAAAAACAATGGATCTAATTAAATATAAATATTGGTAGTGTTAATTAATATGTGTTAGTGTTAATTAATATCGAGTAACAGTTACACGGTGCGAGCGTTACACAGTTTTTAGGGATAGTTACACAAAAGTGTAAAGCTTGATAATTTGAAATAGTGAGTAATCGAACGGAAATATCGTGAAGTGCTGTCAACCTACCACCTCTTTTCCCGCGGGCAACTACAACTCATTTTTTTTTTTGCTAAATAAAAAAAAACTCATATTCTTCATATAATATTCGAAATCGCATCTAATATTTTCGATGTGAGATATCTACGAAGGGGAATATGGAATCACATCGTTTCCATTAATTATGATCACAAAGTGACAAGAAACTTGGAATAGATACTTACATATATGGTATTAACAAAACATAAATAATTTAATTTAAATATAAATATCTTGTAAATTTTTCAGTCATTCACGTTGAAAAAATATCCGGCGGAGCTGTCACTAGTGATGTGGATTTGCGGGATGGGAACCATCTTAAACGCCAGTGCTTCGGTCGTGATGGTACGTGACTTGAGCGCTTGGAAAATCGGCATGGACTCAGGCACACTCGCGGCTGTTTACTCCGTATGTTTTTACATGTTTACTAACAAACCAGCTCTAATTATTGTCACATACGTGATTACTACTAAGTTTTTAATTGAATGGTTAATAATAATATCAGGGAGTGGTCTGTTCGGGGATGGCATATTACATACAAAGCATTGTGATTAGAGAACGAGGACCGGTGTTTACGACGTCGTTTAGTCCTATGTGCATGATCATTACTGCCTTCTTGGGAGCATTAGTTTTGGCTGAAAAGATCCACCTCGGAAGGTAAATGCGTAAATTATATAATTATTGATTCTACTTGAGTTATACATCAAGTTAATTTGTGAGCCATAATTTTGTTTATGCAGTATAATCGGGGCGATTTTCATCGTCTTTGGGCTATACAGCGTCGTGTGGGGGAAGGCTAAGGACGAAGTGATCTCGACCGAGGAAAAAATAGTAATACAGGAGCTGCCAATCACCAATGTATTGAAACAAAATGCACCAGATAAAGGTGTGACTAACAGTACCTGAGAACATCCTCAAATTTTGAAGAACAAATTTCCAAGTACGGAAATTTGTTTATCTTTCTTGTTTGTTTCATGTTGTTTACGTTTTCAAGTGGTTGGTACTGACTATTAGATTATACTATCTATATAATTAATATGTATACAATGGTGTACCTTTTTCAGTATTTGTGGAAATGAAAGAAACTCAATTTGGTAAATTTTCATAACTAGGTTTCTTAGATGCCAAATAGAAGTTTAACTAAATACTGCAATGAGTAGTTGCAAGGGCAAAATAGACATCACCCTATAAGTACTGGTTGGTCCCTCCGGAACAGGTAATCTCCGTTTAACGTTCTTTTAGCAGGTGCGCAGTAAGTATTCTTTCACAAGTTTACCCCAAAAAAAGTATTCTTTCACAAGTCGTACCTCTCACCTAAGAAATCTACTAGCAAAAGCCCACAGATACCCTCCAGTTCCACCCGTAATCTCAAATGCTATGCCACGTTTTGTGGCCTTTATACAGGCTACTTTGGGACGGAGTGAACTTGCGAACGACTGTAGTGAACGACCGCTGGGAGTGAAGACACAGCACTCGTCGAAATACGTGAAAATCAGATACATTTATATAATACCAGCACTTGCAATCAAAATGGAAAATGTATGGACCCTTTTTGAATAAGCAAAAAAATGCTACGTGCCAAAGACGCTATGGGTTCGAAGATTCATAGGCAGATTGATGTAAGATTTCACAAGATCAGGGAGTTAGTTTCAGATGTATAAGTTGGAGGATGCAATGAGTAAATTTATCAACCAGAGTTTGTGATTCTGACACCTAATCCAGAATTATAATGCACGTCTCAAGATTTCATATCATACTGTCATAATTCTGATTAACACTTAAAACAAATATTACCACTCTTCTCCAACACAGAGACTAAGCTACATAGTTCCTGCGACAAAGCTAAGCAAAGCCAACATTGTTCATTTGCTTTCCTCTTCACCACCATCCTCTGCAACCAAACCAAATAATCATCAGTTGTTTTTATTTTAAAAATTATCTCCCCTGCTGATGTAAGATAATTTACATGAGATGAGTAAGATTCGCACCAGTGTTTGGTTCTCCTTCGGTTTGACTTCCATCCCCGCCATCTTCATTACCTCC